GCCACTGAGGGTCCATGTGTATTTTTCATTCATTTCATGGCCCGAACTCGCCCACATCCTTCAGTTTTCGAGGTCTCCCTGTCCTTTTCAGTGAGAACAGGGACCCCGGGCCTTTTCAGTACTAGGCAGCAAACCTCCGACTTAGCCAACTCCAACTTCACTCCAGCAGGCCAGTTCCCCAACAGCAAATGAAGAAACTCTTCAGACAGAAAAAGAACCAAGCACCAAGCATTCAGGATGGTGTTTCTGGAAAGGTTCCCCTTTAGGTTTAAAGGAAAACTTTGGAAGTGATTAGTAAGTTATTTAGAACCTCAATATTTTAAAGTTTGAGAAGCTAACATACAGAGAAATTTAATTTAGATTTCCTTAACACGCTCTTTCATGATAAGAGAGCATTCTGTATATCGGCATATAAATGCTATGCAACAGGACTGCCAAATTGCAACACAGAATGGGAGAAATTTGTCATTTTGAAATGCTAAGGGAATTCTTACCAACGGCATTCTCATCTTGTGAAGCTATTATTTTTCTGAACTGTAATATGATTTATAAATCTCTGCTGAGTTTTATACTTCTGATGGGAACAGGCTTGAAATGAAATGTATTTTCTCAGAATATGAAATTCTCCCAGGAGTTGACCAAACGAAGAATAAAAAGAAACATCTCCTGCAACCAAGTTTTCCAATGTCTTGGTCTCTGCTGGCATATCTGTGGGTAAATGTTGGCCTTTAGAGTGCTGAACTCAGCTAGACTCTCTTCTCACTCCCCACACTTTCTTCCTGGGTGATGTCAGCCACTCTAGAAGCTTTGACCCTGACTTCTGCCCCAGTGATTGCCATATCCATCCTCCTCACCCTCCTCATATCTTTCCTGAGTTACAGGTCCCTGTGTCTACCCACTGAGACCTTCATCATGCCCTCCAGACAGTTCAACCTTAAGCTCTTTCGTTTCCAAATGTCATTCCTTCTATTTGAATCCCAGGGTTGCAACAGTACTAGCATCTATAGAGATAAGATACAGTTCCTGCTCCTGGGAAGCTTCTAATAGCACAGGAGATAGAAGAGTGAACAGGCAATTATAATAGGTCAGTAAGTGCTGGGGTAGGATTAGCCCAAGGGGTTGTGGCTCTCATAGGAAGAGCTTGCAGTCAAGACATCATTCTAAGGACATCATTCTAAGTAACATCTTGGTTGAGTATGTTAGGTAATTGAGGTGTGTGTGTGTGTGTGTGTGTGTGTGTGTGTGTGTGTGTGTGTGTGTGTGGTTTATATTGAAGAATCGCGAGGAAGGACAGAGGAGTCTCATGGACAGGGGCCCAGAATGTGAGATCATGAAGACAGATTTGGGATATGGTTTGGGCAGGGTGCTCAGGAGGCACTAGACAGAGGTAAGGCTAGACCACCAGGGCCTGATCAGAACAAGACTTGTATCCCTCATTGGATCTGCACAGAGTTTGAAATCCAAAGTGCATGGTCCAGAGGGTTGGCTCAGTTTGGGAATGGGGATGTATGCTTGCATTTTTATGGAGAGCTTCATGTTATCATGACCCAGGCTCCATGGAGACCCACTGAAGTCTCAGATCTCCACTGTGTGCACCACGAGATCCTAAAATACATCCCCCCAAAATCAATCTGAGGTTATGTTTTATAAGAGTACTTTCCTCACAGTGCAGTTATACTCTTTATTCATAATCATCTTTAATCCTTACAAGCACCCTGAGTCTCAGACAGACCATGGGCTTTGGCAGTAGATGAAAGACTTCAAAACCCTGAGCATGTTACTTAACTTCCCTGTATCTCAGTCATCCTCACCCATAAGATTAGGATAGAAGTAATACAAACCCTCATCTTAATCCCTCTGAAAATAAGAGCATTTTGATAAGTTTGCTGAACTTGACCTAAACTGATACGAAGCTGTTTATAGATTTTATTTACTCTCTTAGAATGAGTATTCAAATATTTTGCTGCAGAAGGTGGATGTGTTTGGTCATGGGGTTGTTAATGGCCTATTGCCATCTTCACTTTCTAATATCTGAAAAACTCTGAACCCAGGAACACATCTAGCCCGTGTTTTCATAAAGAATTTGAGGACCTGTAGTATATGTAAAGGATAAGATCATAAGATAATGCACATGAAGGACCTCCCTAGCACAATGAGCGGCACACATCAAGGGCTCAGAAGTTACAGCTATTATCAAAAAGAGGGCCACCTTGGCTTCATAAAACAAGGCTTGTAAGAAACAAATATCTTAAAGAAAATATATTTTTCTATCTCTGGCCCTTCAACTATTTATAATGATAGTTTTGGAAAATCTGCAAGTGATGTAATTTTTCTAAGCACCATTTTTTCTGACATTAAATCATGTTCTTGTTCCTCAGTCATGTCCAACTCTTTTGTGATCCCATGGCCTATAGCCTTCCAGGCTCCTCTGTCCATGGGATTTCCCAGGCAAAAACACTGGAATGGATTGCCATTTCTGTCTCCAGGGGTTCTTCCTGACTAAGGGATCGAACCTGTGTCTCCTGCATTGCAGGTGGATTCTGTACCACTGAGCCACCAGGGAAGCCCCACCTTTAAATCATAGGGAGGAAGACAACTCAGAGTGTCTGTTACAGACTCTCACAAAGACAGGTGATGGGAGATTCTGGGAAAAGAAACAGCACAGGTAAGGGAGTGTGGAGTGGAAGAAATGTTCAAAGAAGGAAGGATAAACTTCTCACAGTCTGGCACCCAGGGAGCATGGCACAAAATGCCAACAGATAAAACTAGGAGGTGTTTGGGGGAAGATTTTTATGAAAAACCTTGAATACCATGGTAGGTTAATATTTTATCCTGTAGATCAGGTGTTTTCAAATCATTTTATCAAGAGAATTTTATTGAAACAAAATTTTGTTTGCATGAGAGCTCTGTATACTGCAACCCCACACAAATCCGTTTTTACTTTTTGGTCCAAATGCTCTTTTAAAAGGGCAAACCGGATCATCTCACTCCTCAGGGCACATTCCTCAAAGACGTCTCATCAAGCTTGGAGTAAAATGCCATCTCCCTGCACGGCTCTGGGTGATTTGGCCCTGCCCACCTTCCCAGCTCATCTCACACCTCCCTGGCTCACCAATGAGCCACAGCCCTCCCCACATCAAGGATCTTACACAGGATGCCCTCATCTTTGCTCCTCCATCCCACTTGGCTAATTAGCTTCTACTCATTGAAGTGTAAGTGCAGCCACCTTTTCTGGGAGGAGCCTTTCCTGGCTTGGTCAGGATGCCCTGTGTTACACTCTCTCATACCCTGTGGATGTCTCCATTCATTACCTGAGGATTTGTTTGCTTGATACCTTCTCCCCTCTATCCTGCCAACTCTGAGAATGGGAAGTGGCCCCATATGTCTTGTTTATGACAGTGTCCCTGTTCAATGGCTGCTCGCTAAGCACACCTCCAGAAACTATCTGCTATATGCTGGCCAAAAGCGAGTCATTTTTCAACCTCAAAATATTCTTTCCAAATTCTAACTATTGAAAATACGCCAGCAAATACAACAGGAAGACAAATGGGAGAGGAGGCAGCTTTGGGTGGAAATGAGGTTGGTTGAGTTGAAATGGTTGCAGCAAGAATGTGGGGCCTGGGATATTTCCCACTAGGCCTACTCCTTGCCCTCCACAGGGCTCCCTGAGGCATTCTCATTGTGGTAGGATGCTCCAGCTAGCAGAAGGCTTTTTTAAAATTTGACTTTGGGGTGAATGTTCTCCAGAGTGTTCTCTTGGCCTGAAGAAACTTTCTGCTTGATGGTCAACAGAATGGATAAATATTCACAGTAGCTTTGTATCAACAGGAAGTATATTTCATTCATTTATTTCAACATCTCTTCTCTCTTGGGGTGGGACGGACTGTAAAAGACATCAGTAGGCTGGCCTCAATTTTATTCTTTTGTGTAAGACTGGGGGTAGAGTAGATATTTCTTTGGAAAGCCATTTGGCATAGGCCCAGACCATTGAGAAAACTGCCTCTGTGCTCAGCAGATCCATGCATACTTGGGCTCTTCCTGGGTTTGAAATCATGTGACATGAGGCAGCTTGTGTGACTTTCCTTGGTTCAGTGTGGTCAGCTGTGATGGAGTCAAGAGCTCCCTTTATCTGTTAAATAGGGCAAATCAAAGTGAAAATTACCTTTTGATTGAGTAGCATGGCTGAAGAAAATCAATAGAAATGGCCTGAGATCCACTGGCACCGTCTCAATGTTGTGCTGTAGACTTTTCAGATTGCTGGAACACTGGGTTTCAGGCCTCTTCCAAGGGCAGCTGAAAATCAACAGTTGAGTGGGTAAAAGGAGACGTCGTATGTCTGTGCAATCCTAGATTAAAGAGAAAATATATTCTGGCCAAATCAAGTCATTTTTCAACCTCAGAATATCTTTCCAAATTCTAAGATACTGTGTTTGAGTTTGACATGTTTAAGAGAGATGTCACAGCTGCAGTTGTCTTTGTTCAGAATGTAAGAGACAGTTTCGTCTAGACTTTCAGGAAAGATATAGAATGACATTTTCAGAACAAATCAAAATATATTTTTAAGGTTTTTTTCCCCCTTCAGGAAGAGAAGTTGACATGCTTCCCTGATTTGAATTTAGTTGATCTATAAATGGCCTCCATAGTTTGATATAAAACTAGAGTAAATGAACCATTGAGAAAAGTTACTGAAAATGCTGTTAGTTCACTGTCCTACCTTAACAATAATGTGAGTACCACCAACATTACCACAGTAACTAATATTTATTGAGTGGTTTCTAAGTGTGTGCTGAACTCTTGACATAAGAGTTCTTACCTTAGTTCTCATAGCAATCCTAGGAGGTAGCTATTAGTATTAATACCAGTTTTCCACTGAACAAACCAAGCCACATGGAGTTGATCGCATTCCCCCAAAGCCACACAGCTGTGGGTGGGCCAGCAGAAATCTGATGTCCCCCAGTCTTACCCTCCTCACCGTGTGCTTGCGTCTTCTTTCCCCACAGGGCTAGCATCGTACAGAAACGCATCATTTATTTTCAAGATGAAGGCTCCCTGACCAAGAAACTTTGTGAACAAGGTAAGGAGGTCTGGATGTGTGGACTGGAGAGGACCAGATAAATGGAAGGTGGCTCAATCAGTCTCAGCATTCGGCCACAGGAATTAAGGCAGTACGGTTTTCTGAGTTCCTCCGGGTTCTGCTTCCTCACGTAGTTCCAATTTTTCATCTGGCTGTGTGCTGTGGATAATTGGATCTGCCTTAAACTCTAATTACTCAGCTTGATTCCCTGGGTAGGAGATAATATACCTTATATTGGTGTCGTCTCGTTATTTTTGTGAAACAGTGATTATTCTGAAGAGATTCCTTGGAATAATTCACAGGACTTAATTAAGGAGCACACAATTGTGTACCTCTAAAAAGTCTGCAATGGTTTTCTGGAATAATCACTAGCAGGAAGTTGTGGGGCGCCCAGGCAGGATGAGCGGATTTTCTCTAGGGAACGGGAATGCCGAGGGGGCTTTGATTTTGTGATCCTTACCTCATCTAGGGATCTGGTCCTTGGATGTGCAGCCTTGTCAACCCCCTCTCCTTTCTTTGGTCGGAGGTGTTCTAACAAAGCTTATGGGGACCAAGTAGGTTGGGGAAGTTGGAGCAGAGGCCTGGATTCAGATCGAGCCGGGGTTTAAATCTTGCCTCTGCCCTTCCTAGTCTAATCTGCCTGCCGGTGCAGGAAACCTGGGTTCAATCTCTGGGTCAGGAAGATCCCCTGGAGGAGGGCATGGCAACCCACTCCAGTATTCTTGCCTGAAGAATCCCATGGACAGAGAAGCCTGGCAGGCTACAGTCCATAGGGTCGCAAAGAATCAGACACGACTGAAGTGACTTACACACAGGCACATACGTAGTCAGTGGTTACCTTCAGTTCTCCATGACACTGTAATGTATAGTGCCCTGCCTCCTAGTACACAGTAAATATACATATATGTATGTGTGTGTATATATACATGTACATGCACATATGTATGTTCATACATATATATATACCCATACATGCACTGATTTATTATATATGTGTGTATGCTAGCTATTGTTATCAACATCCCAGGGCTTATTTATTCATCTACCATGAAAAATTAAGATTTTAAACATCTAAATGTGTTAGAAGTCATTAAAGAACTAAATAAAAGTGACAAATGAGCTGAAATTATACATCTTCATGCTCTCTTTTCTATTAATTTGTGCAGACTTTTTATTTACCTTTAGAGTAATTCATGGTTTGAGAAGAAATCAGTCTATCATGGTTTGAGAAGAAATCATTCTATTTCTAGCAAATCATAAGCTACAAAGAAAAAGAAAAGTTGGTAAATGTCCTCTAGGAAAATAATAATAACTAATTTATTTGTGCTTGTTGTATGCCAGGCACCGTTCCAAGTACTTCACATGCCTTAATCATGTCATCAGCACAATAATCCTAGGTGAATTACATCATCCCTGTTTTACAGATGAGAAGCCTGAGCCATGAAAAGTTTAAAAAGCTGACTCAGCATCAGACCACTCATTAGGAGGTCAGAGTTTGAACCTAGGAGCCAGTGCCCTAACCATTGCCTTTCTATCAAAGTGCTATCTCGCAGTTCAATAGCTTGGGTTGTTGCTTTGGGTAGATCAAAACCTAGGTCTCCCTATGGGTGAGCTGGGGCAGAAAATAGGTCGTATGTGGAGGACTGCTTGGAGAGCATGGAAGGAGCTAAAGGGGGAGAGTTGGCTGCCCTGCATCAGGTCATGCCTGTCAAAGGGGCAAGAGAGCTGAACCTGTGGGCCCATGCCCCGGGCAGCTTCCAGGTGGGCGTCACTATGCTTGGATATTGGGGTTTTCCTTCCCTGTATTTCATAGTCCACAGATTTGCTTAACCTTCACCCAAACTCAGGACATTTCAGCTCTTGAGGCTCTTGGTTTCTAACAGACAATCCCGTCCCTGCCTGGCTTGCATGTGATGACATCCAGGTCCCAGGGCATAGAAAGCTGTGGCTATTCTAGCTCATCTCTTGGTTGGCTAATCATGGCCACCATGGTGCAGTTTTGTTAGTTTGACTCTCAGAGGACAGCCTGATTTCCCAGATTTGAGGATTCCCGGAATACACTGCACCATCAGCCTCGTGTATTGACAGCAACCAACAGCTAAAGTGCGCTTTCCAAAGCCTCAGTCCTGATGTTGTGAAAGCCTTGTCTAAGCTATGAATATGCTAACATTGTGCAGGTAAGCATCAATGAAAAGACACTGCAAATCTCTACTGGTTACCACTTCTGAAGCAGAGAGCCTACCAAAATGACTAAGCACAAGTCTGTATAAAAAGACCTCTTTCCAACAGCAACTTTGTGCGCAAAAAAAGACCCAGGAGGACCCGGGCTGCAGGATCGTGAGTTGCAGTTGTAGATGATTCCTGGAGACAGCAAACTCATGAGGAAATCCATCAGTTAGCAAAGCAGATCCCACATAGAAAGTCTTTAGGATGTAACCATAGAGCAAAGGGATTCTCTCCAGCTCTTTCATTAAAGTATTCACACTTTTGTTGCGTCAAATCAAATCTATCAAGGAAAGAGAGAAACTAGTGTCTATTTTTTTTCCCCAGTTAAAGCTATTAATCCATAGGGGAAATCTAAGAATTGCACAGATTAAAAGCAATGGTAATTATTTTTAAAAAGAGACATGAAACAATAAGTTACTTATAATTAAAAGCAGAAATGTAAAATATTCCAAAAGGTGACCTATAATAAGCAAATGCACACATATGCTCACTTTAAGACCATGTCACAGGCAAGGGAGAAAGAGGGAAAGATGAAGGGAAAAGCAGAGATGAGAGAAAAATGTAGATAGAGAAGGGATAATCAGCAAGGGAAAAGGAACAAAAATAAGACCAGAGAGACTTGTCTGGTGGTCCAGTTAAGACTCCATGCTGCCAGTGGTAGAGGTTCCCAGGTTCCCTCCCTGGTCAGGGGACAAGATCCTACGTGCCTCAAACAAGACCCAGTGCAGCCTTCCCCAACTCATGCCCCCCCACCACCAAAAAAAAGAATTAATAAGAGTAGAAAAGGAAGCTGGTAGATTAAGAATAGAAATGAGGGGGGCAGTATAGCTTGAGAGATGCTACAGGGTTTCAAGTTACCTGTATTGGGCAGGTCCTGCAAGGTTAGGAGAAGAGGGGTAAGTTAACACTTGTTATCACTGCCCTTTGAGAACCTGGTTCATTTTCAGTGGGCTTTTCCTCAGTAGGACACAGCGTGTCTTTTTATTTTCAAACTTAGAAATTTATTTTTTCAATGGAAGCTTCTTTTTCTTTGGAATTCCAAAGTGTTTATTATAAGTGTTTTCCCTTGAACCCCTGGATGTATCTTTAAGTTCACTGCTTATATCAGAAAGCCCTTTTGATAAGGTGGAGCTACCAGTTTGCCTTACTTTGGTTCTTTGAGAGATTATTGCTGTTTCGTTTAACAGCGCCTAGTCGGAGAAGGCAATGGCACCCCACTCCAGTACTCTTGCCTGGAAAATCCCATGGGCAGAGGAGCCTGGTAGGCTGCAGTCCATGGGGTTGCTAAGAGTCAGACACGACTGAGCGACTTCACTTTCACTTTTCACTTTCACGCATTGGAGAAGGAAATGGCAACCCACTCCAGTATTCTTGCCTGGAGAATCCCAGGGATGGGGGAGCCAGGTGGGCTGCTGTCTATGGGGTCGCACAGAGTCAGACACGACTGAAGCGACTTAGCAGCAGCAGCAGCAGTTACAACTGAAACCCCAGCATGTCTCTCTTAGCTCTGAATCCCTTTTTCAGAACTAATTTAGTCTTTTTAAAACATAGTTGATCATAGTGGAAATGTGAAAAGGAAAAACCTTCAAGAGTTACTCATTTATGCCAGCTTTCCTGAAATATATTCAATAGCGCTTGTCCCTTAAGTATCAAAGTTGCTCACAGCAGCAATCAGATCTGGACTTCATGTACATAGGGAAGTAGGAAGCTTGCTTCTAACATACACAATGCTCTAGCCTCTTCCTAGTGTACAAAAAGTAGCCAAATAATGATTTCTATTTGGGATGGTTATCAGATCTCTTCTTTACGGCTATTTAGAGATCCTGGAGCTCTGTAGATAAGTATTTTTTTAAATGCACCATTCTTCGTTTGAAAAAGCTAAATGAGAAACACACAGATTTCTCCCACTGGTGTTTATGCAGACCTATGCAGCAGAAGGTCTCTCCTGAAGTGATGCAGTATACAGGTTAAGAGTGATCATGGGCTGTGGATTCAAAAAAGACCTGGGTTCCAGTTCTGCCTGCACCACCCACCAACCCAGTGACTTTGGGCTGGTTACCTAATGTGCCTTAGTTTTATGATCTATAAAATGGGGTTAACCAAAGTCTTGGTGTCCTAGGATTGCCAAGATTAAATGAGACAGTATATGGAAAGGAATCAACACATATAAGGACTCTATGCAATGCAGTGATTATTACAGTATCCCATACTTTTGTCTCCATCCTCAAACCCAGAATTCACTTCTTTCACCTATCTCTGATTTTGCATATTCAAACCAAAAGAACTCAGTGAATTCCATAAAGAAGACTTGTAAAATGCTCTTCCTAACTCTCAAAAAGATTTTTAAACTCTCTTTTGCTTCTCTTTATATAATAGTTAAGATTAAATGTCCAACTAGCAAAAAAAAGGGGGGGGGAGGGTAGGGAGAACATTCATGTTAATACCTCCTGAGGAACCAAAGCAAAAGCAGTTGAAGCAAGTTGCATCTGTAGACATTGTTTTCATCTTGCAGGAAGCAGAACAGACTAAAAGCAACAATGTAGTTAGGGATGTGGGCCTGACGATTGGAAATACTGAATTTATTCATGTAATCTCTTTTTTTCCACTTATCAGCTATTCACAGCTAAAAGTGGGGGTGGAGAGGGAATCTCGAGTTTTCCTGGCTCTTTCTATGCTCAGAAGTAAACGTGAACTTATGAACATATTCCCAAACCCCCAACCCTCCCAGTAAAGTCTCTAAAAGCTTGATAAGAAGTGATGTGACTACATATGCATAATTTTTTAGAAATAATTTTCAGCAGTTCCTTATGTCTCTCTGCTTGTTCTCATTGCTCTCATTCAAAGCTTTTCCTTCTTGTCCTGGCAGTTTGGCCCCAGAGAATATTCCTTAGAAAACACACACACACATGCACATTCCTCTTGAAATATGGTGGAGAATCCCTATTGTGGGAGGGATGGGAAAGGAGATTCGGGTCCAGAAAGGATAACAATAAACTTTACCAAGATAGCCTCCATCCCAAATATTCTATGTTATTGGTCCCATAGGTCTCCTCACATTATTAGAGCAAAAGTTCTGATTTATTTTTAATTTGAAAAATATAGTGATCATCCTTAGAGTTGAATAAAATCTGTTATAGCTGGACCTGGTTCTGAATTATTAATCAGTAAAAACTGCACTTTGATTCCCAGGTGAATCAGTGTTAAAGCATCCGCCTGCCAATGCAGCAGATGCAAGTTCAATCCCTTTTTCAGGAAGATCCTCTGGAGAAGGAAATAGCAACCCACTCCTGTGTTCTTGCTGGGAAAATCCCATGGACAGAGGAGCCTGGCAGGCTACAGTTCATGGGGTCACAAAGAGTTGGATACGACCTAGTGACTCAGCACACACACACACACACACACAAACTGCATTTCACATTCTTTTCCCAGGCATTAAGGACAGGATGAGACCAAGATGTCACTGCCTTATAAATGACTCACAGTTGCTTCCTAACTTGCTGACTTTCCTGACTCTTTCAGATTCCACATTTGATGGGGTGACTGACAAACCAATCCTAGACTGCTGCGCCTGTGGAACTGCTAAGTACAGGCTCACATTTTATGGGAACTGGTCTGAGAAGACACACCCAAAGGATTACCCTCGTGAGTAGAACAGCTATTTTATGGGCTGGGGGAGAGGGTCTTACAAAGTTCTGTCTGATTGTGGGGTACACGAGCTGATGCTCCTTACTTATTCATGAAACACATTCCAAATAAGTGAATTCATTGAGACAAGTGGATATCATTGTGGTAGGCGTTCAGCTTCTCTGCATTGCATGTTCTAAGTGTTTTCTTATCTGTGATTTTAAAAAATATTCCTGAGGTCATGCTGCTTATCTTCAGGCCAGATATTTGATCACCTTAGTTCTCTTAAAGTGACTGTATTAACACAACTGGCCTATTTGTGCTGGAAGAGCTAGCAAAATGAACCTTGACTTCATAGACCAAGGTCAACAAATATTCAACCTCCTCAACCAGAGCATGCATCAGGTGATATACCAGACACCACCTTAGAATCCTCATGGCACCATGCTCCAGGTAGACAATGAGAGTTGTCAGGCAATCCCAAACTTGTTGTTTTAGAGTAGACCCTTAACCAGGACCCTACCAGCTCCCTTTGATCAAACAATTTTCTCATCAAATGCCTAACGTGTCAAACACTGTGCTAAACTCTAGATATATTTATAACTGTGAATAAAACAAGACACAACCCTTGTTTAATGGGGAGAGAGACATTAATTAACCACACAAATGATATGAAAATTATAACTATGAATAATGAACTTATTATGTGGTGAGAATTCTCATGTATGTGTCATTTCAAAAGTAACTTGCTTTTGTGGATGAATTTACCGGAGAGCACAGAGACATCATGATTTACTGCTAGTCCAGTGTAAGTACAATCATCCCTCGGTATTCAAGAGAGGCTGGTTCCAGGAACCCCATGGATATCAAAATCCATGAACACTCAGTGCCTTCAATACAATGACATATGCAGATCCTCCCATATACTTTAAATCATCTCTAGATTACTTACAACACCTGATACAATGTAAATAGTTGTAAATACATTGTAAATGCTGGGTCAATAGTTGTTGGGTGGCAAACTCAAGTTTTGTTTTTTAAGGCTTTCTGGAACTTTTTCCCCAAATATTTATGACCCATGGTTGGTTGACTCAGCGGTTGTAGAACCCTCAGAATAAATGGCTGATGGTAGTGGGTCCAAGATGCAGAAGAGTTCCGTCAGGCTCCTTGCCCTGCCTTTGGCTTGGATTGCCTTTGACACGCGGTGTCACGTGTTCGGTGGGTGGCAGGGTGTCCGTGTGTGGCACTGAACATGCTTTTTCTGCTCGTTGTGCTTTGTTCTTCCTCACTTCACTCTGGAGTCGCCAGAGCTGGGAAGGAACAGGGACGCTGCAGAAAGAGACTAAAATGGGGGATTTAGGTCAGCCTCAAAGGAAGGCGGGGCAAAGTGTACATGAGTGAGACTTAAGAGGACCCAGTCAAGACCAGAACCTCCACGGTCCCCAAACGGCCCACCCAGAGGGGACTCCAACATTTCTTGACAGATCAAGAGCCTTATTGTTTAATTTTACCCACATGTAATCAAGGCTTAAGATCTTAGAAGTTTCATACTAGTTCATTCTTCTGAGTCTTGATCTGATTCAGCTGGTGTGAGAGACCTGTGTGAACAATCTTGGACTCTGCCTGAGGGGAAAAAGAACCACCCAACAAGTATGATGGAAAAAATTTCCTCTAGTGTCTCCCATCCACCAACCCAGAGGAAGTAAAATGTCAGGGGCTCATTACTCATCTTTTGTAATCCTACTGTACTTCTTGCTCTTTTTCATTCTGACACTGGTTATTTCCCAGAATTTTTTTTAAAGGGTACAGACCATTGTTTCTGGGTCTTTGAGCCAAATCAAGTACAAATTGATACAGAATTGCTGTGGAGTTTTGTTGGGAGTTTCTTAATACATGTATAAGCAGACATGTGTTCCAGATCCCTGAGGAGAGTTCCATAGTCAGAGGTCAGAGTGTGTCCTGATTGTTGATTGGAAGAAAATGTGGGCACTATATTCAGAAAAGCATTTATCACATCACACCATAATTATTTCTTCAGGAACTTGTCTTCTCCACCACACTGAGAAGCCCTCCAGAACAAGAGCCACAACATGCTCATCTTTCATTCTTAGTGCCTGCAAGTGCCTTGGGCCTTCCCAAGTCCTGGGTACTGATCGGTGGACTCCGAGTGGCATGCACCGTTGCCCGGGAGGCAGATTTTAGCCCACGTAGTCATGATGGTCAGTACTGAGCTGGGAAAGAGCCAGACTTTCCCTGGAGGGAAAGGGGTGAACTTGGACACTAAGGGCCCTGGAGCAAATTAGAAGGGCACGGAGAGGTGCCCTTGAGAATAATTGGGTCTAACTGGGAACTTGAGAATTCAATATTCACAGAAGTGATTTCTGCCAGTCTTTTTTTTTTTTTTTTCATTTATTTTTATTAGTTGGAGGCTAATTACTTTACATCATTGTAGTGGTTTTTGTCATACATTGAAATGAATTAGCCATGGATTTACATGTATTCCCCATCCCGGTCCCCCCTCCCACCTCCCTCTCCACCCGATCCCTCTGGGTCTTCCCAGTGCACCAGGCCCGAGCACTTGTCTCATGCACCCAACCTGGGCTGGTGATCTGTTTCACCCTAGATAATATACGTGTTTCGATGCTGTTCTCTTGAAACATCCCACCCTCGCCTTCTCCCAGAGTCCACAAGTCTGTTCTATACATTGGAGTCTCTTTTTCTGTTTTGCATATAGGGTTATCGTTACCATCTTTCTAAATTCCATATATATGTGTTAGTATACTGTAATGGTCTTTATCTTTCTGGCTTACTTCGCTCTGTATAATGGGCTCCAGTTTCATCCATCTCATTAGAACTGATTCAAATGAATTCTTTTTAATGGCTGAGTAATATTCCATGGTGTATATGTACCACAGCTTCCTCATCCATTCGTCTGCTGATGGGCATCTAGGTTGCTTCCATGTCCTGGCTATTATAAACAGTGCTGCGATGAACATTGGGGCGCACGTGTCTCTTTCAGATCTGGTTTCCTCGGTGTGTATGCCCAGAAGTGGGATTGCTGGGTCATATGGCAGTTCTATTTCCAGCTTTTTAAGAAATCTCCACACTGTTTTCCATAGTGGCTGTACTAATTTGCATTCCCACCAACAGTGTAAGAGGGTTCCCTTTTCTCCACACCCTCTCCAGCATTTATTGCTTGTAGACTTTTGGATAGCAGCCATCCTGACTGGTGTGTAATGGTACCTCATTGTGGTTTTGATTTGCATTTCTCTGATAATGAGTGATGTTGAGCATCTTTTCATGTGTTTGTTAGCCATCTGTATGTCTTCCTTGGAGAAATGTCTGTTCAGTTCTTTGGCCCATTTTTTGATTGGGTCATTTATTTTTCTGGAGTTGAGCTGGAGGAGTTGCTTGTATATTTTTGAGATTAATCCTTTGTCTGTTGCTTCGTTTGCTATTATTTTCTCCCAATCTGAGGGCTGTCTTTTCACCTTGCTTATAGTTTCCTTTGTTGTGAAAAAGCTTTTAAGTTTCATTAGGTCCCATTTGTTTATTTTTGCTTTTATTTCTAAAATTCTGGGATGTGGGTCATAGAGGATCCTGCTGTGATTTATGTCGGAGAGTGTTTTGCCTATGTTCTCCTCTAGGAGTTTTATAGTTTCTGGTCTTACATTTATATCTTTAATCCATCTTGAGTTTATTTTTGTGTATGGTGTTAGAAAGTGTTCTAGTTTCATTCTTTTACAGGTGGTTGACCAGTTTTCCCAGCACCACTTGTTAAAGAGGTTGTCTTTTTTCCATTGTATATCCTTGCCTCCTTTGTCAAAGATAAGGTGACCACAGGTTCGTGGATTTATCTCTGGGCTTTCTATTCTGTTCCATTGATCTATATTTCTGTCTTTGTGCCAGTACCATACTGTCTTGATGACTGTGGCTTTGTAGTATAGTCTGAAGTCAGGCAGATTGATTCCTCCAGTTCCATTCTTCTTTCTCAGGATTACTTTGGCTATTCGAGGTTTTTTGTATTTCCATACAAATTGTGAAATTATTCGTTCTAGTTCTGTGAAAAATACCGTTGGTAGTTTGATAGGGATTGCATTGAATCTGTAGATTGCTTTGGGTAGTATAGCCATTTTGACAATATTGATTCTTCCAATCCATGAACACGGTATATTTCTCCATCTGTTTGTGTCCTCTTTGATTTCTTTCATCAGTGTTTTATAGTTTTCTATGTATAGGTCTTTTGTTTCTTTAGGTAGATATACTCCTAAGTATTTTATTCTTTTTGTTGCAATGGTGAATGGTATTGTTTCCTTAATTTCTCTTTCTGTTTTCTCATTGTTAGTGTATAGGAATGCAAGAGATTTTTGTGTGTTAATTTTATATCCTGCAACTTTACTGTATTCGTTGATTAGCTCTAGTAATTTTCTGGTAGAGTCTTTAGGATTTTCTATGTAGAGGATCATGTCATGTGCAAACAGCGAGAGTTTCACTTCTTCTTTTCCTATCTGGATTCCTTTTATTTCTTTTTCTGCTCTGATTGCTGTGGCCAAAACTTCCAAAACTATGTTGAATAGTAGTGGTAAGAGTGGGCACCCTTGTCTTGTTCCTGATTTCAGGGGAAATGCTTTCAATTTTTCACCATTGAGGGTGATGCTTGCTGTGGGTTTGTCATATATAGCTTTTATTATGTTGAGGTATGTTCTTTCTATTCCTGCTTTCTGGAGAGTTTTAATCATAAATGGATGTTGAATTTTGTCAAAGGCTTTTTCTGCATCTATTGAGATAATCAAATGGTTTTTATCTTTCAATTTGTTAATGTGGTGTATTACATTGATTGATTTGCGGATATTAAAGAATCCTTGCATTCCTGGGATAAAGCCCACTTGGTCATGGTGTATGATTTTTTTAATATGTTGTTGGATTCTGTTTGCTAGAATTTTGTTAAGGATTTTTGCATCTATGTTCATCAGTGATATTGGCCTGTAGTTTTCTTTTTTTGTGGCATCTTTGTCTGG